ATTATACTGGGACCGAAAATTAAGTAATTTACTTAATGTGAGCATAAAAAAATTGAATTAAAAATTGATTAATTTTTTAAATAAACATATGATCATTCAAATAAGTTATAAATGTTTGCAACAAAATTTTTTAAAATTTTAAATTTTAAATTTAAATTATTTATATGATTTCCTAAATTCATATAATTTATATTATATGATAAAAAAACATTTAAAATATTTTATCCATTTTAAAGAAACCTAAATAAGTTTCAATATTTCATGAAGAATTAAGGGAAAATGACAGCAAAATACCATGTGAATTTCAAAAAGACAAATAAGGCACATGAATAAGCAAAATGACAAATAGGGCACTGGGTGCCAATTTGGAATTTAGATTTTTAGCCTAATTACCAAATTGCCTTGTCTAAAAGTGAGAGAAAGGAAAGAGAAAGACGCTGATGAAACACGCGAAGAAGGAAAGAAGAATGTTGGAAATGCTATTATCTTATTCCTCCGCATCACCCCTCTGTAGAGATTGTTGATTTAGTGGGTTTTGGTTGTGGGAAAGAGGATTTGTAGTAAGAGAGGGAGTGAACCTGTGAGAAAGAAGTTGATGGCGGGATTTGGATTATTCATTTTTGTGGCTGCTTCATGGTGAAATAGGAACAGGATTATTGCATTTGAGGGTTTATATTCAGTATTTGGTGAATGATGAAACAGAAATCAAAAAATAGTGGCAAGCAATTACGTAATGTAACTATTGTCATATGCCTGCTGGTTTTTGGTAAATCCCATTACGTGAATGATAGATTTTATTGTACATGTAGTTAATTATGAAAGTTAATACATTGCCTTGTCTGAAAGAACTCGTACTCCCTGAGATTGTCGTAGTCGAAGAGGTTGCTGAAGTAACATCAACTGTGATACACAAGTAGGAAGCTTAAATATTATTCTTCATAGAGCATTTTCGATGGGTTCCCACAGCTTAAAATGTTATTGCCTAGCATTCCTCTTTTTGGTTCTGTCTCTGTTCTTCGCATGAAACCATTTTCAAAGAATGTGAAGCTGTCTAGTTTTCTAGTATTATTAAACCATTTGTCCTGAATATTACAAAACACATATTGTGATTTACAGCTTTCATAGTGAAAGTGACTACTTTATTAATGGGTTTTGCAACATGTTTTCAGGAGATAAACAATTTGTTTGTAAAAACTAATAAAATTCCACGCTAAATTTGATAAAACCTATAGTGGGATTTACAACTTCTGCAGTGAAAATGACCACTTATTCAATGGGTTTTGTAACTTGTTTTCAGGGGATGGGCAACTTGTTTCTAAAAACTAATAAAATTTCACGCTAAATTTGACAAAACACATAGTGAGATTTACAACTTTCGTAGTGAAAATGATAACTTCTTTAATGGGTTTTGCAACATGTTTTCAAGGGATTGAAAACTTGTTTCTAAAAACCAATAAAATTCCATACTGAATTTTACAAAATATATAGTAATATTTACAATTTTTGTAGTGAAAATTACTACTTCTTAAATGGGTTTTGCAACCTCTTTTCAGGGATGAGCAACTTGTTTCTAAAAATCAATAAAATTTCACGCTGAATTTTACAAAACACACAGTGAGATTTATAACTTTTATAGTGAAAATGATCACTTCTTAAATGGCTTTTGCAACCAATTTTCAGGGGATGGACAACTTGTTTCTAAAAACCAATAAAATTTTACGTTGAATTTTACAAAACATATACTGGGATTTACAACTTTTGTAGTAAAAGTGACCACTTTGTTAATAGGTTTTGCAACATATTTTTGGAGGATGAGTAATTTACTTTTCACCACTAATAAAATTTCACGCTGAATTTTACGAAACACATAATGTGATTCACAACTTTTATAGTGAAAGTGACTACTTCTTCAATGGGTTTTGTAAACCTGTTTTCACTGGAAAGGCAACTTATAAACATAAATAAATCATTCAGTGAACGTGCACCTGAAGTACGTCACAATAAACATTGAACTATTAACTTTCATAATTAACTACATGTATAATAAAATCTACCATTCATGTAATGGGATTTACAAAAAACCAGCAGGCATATAACAACAGTTACATTACGTAATTGCTTGCCACTGTTTTCTGATTTCTGGTTCATTATTCACCGAATACTAAATATAAACCCTCAAATGCAATAATCCTGTTCCTATTTCACCATGAAGCAGCTACAAAAATGAATAATGCAAATCCCGCCATCAACTTCTTTCCTACAAGTTCACTCTCTCTCTTACTATAAATCCTCTTCCCCACAATCAAAACCCACCAAATCAACAATCTCTATAGAATGGTGATGCGGAGGAGTAAGATAATAGCATTTTCAATATTCTTCTTTCCTTCTTCCCGTGTTTTATCAGCGTCTTCCTCTTTCTTTTCTCTCATTTTCAGACAGGGCAATTTGGTAATTAGGCTAAAAATTTAAATTCCAAATTGATACCCAGTGCCCTATTTGTTATTTTTCTTATTCAGGAGCCTTATTTCTCTTTTTGAAATTCACATGGTATTTTGCTGTTATTTTCTCAAGAATTAAAAATTATATATTTCTACAATGTAATTAAAATTAATAAATTTTATAACATATTAAAAAGTTTGAAAATAGCTTTCAGAAATTGAAAAGGTTTCCTTTTAATTCTTCAAAAAAAATCGATAAAAGAATCAATAATGGGTTAAAATATCGGGTTAAACATGTACGTATTTTTAAACATGTATATATATGTTTGAGTTAAAGTTAATCATCAAAAGATTTTAATAAACAAGGCTGCTTCTTTCTTGCATAAATAAACACACAATACACATGCAACTTTGGATGGTGACATCACTCTTCATTCTAGAGCTAGATAGAATATATTACACACACACACACACATCTCTGTGTGTGTAGAGGTTGTTGAGTGATCACATCTTAAACACGAGATTTCGGGTTCAAATTCGAATAAATACAACAACAAAAAAAGTCTTTAAAAAGGTTAAACCTAATTAGGCTTAACAATTATCAGACCTAATCACTATTCCAGAAAAATTATATTTCCTTCAATCTTAAATATAGAAGTTAATTTGAAGCATTTACTTCAGATCTAAATATAAGATTTTAATTTATTTTATCTTCTAAATTTATAATTTCTTCTTTAAACTATCTTAATTCCTTGCACATATTAAAGATGACTTCCATTAAGGAAATAATTTTCAACGTCAATTGTTAAATGAAATATTTCAAGGAAAACAACACATTTTTCTTATAAATAACTAATTTAATTAATTATTAATTTTCTTAATTTTTATAAATTAGTATCTAATTCCTATATTTAAAATTAAAAGAATATATATATATAGATGTCTTTATGTACTCTCATTTGTTAGAAGTTGAAGGATTCGCTTTTATTCTAAATGCAAGATCTTATTTTAATCTACCTCTTACATTTATAATTTTTTTTTTCCTTAAACTGTTTTTATTGATTGTACATGTTAATGAGAGTTTTTATCAATAGGGTAGTTTCCAATGCAATTGATTACATAAAATATTTTAGAAAAGCCAATCTACATTTATTATAAATAACTGACTTAAATAATTTTTTAATTTCTATAAATTAGTTATATGTCTCCTACATTTACTATGAGGAAAAGTATAAATAGATCTATAAATTAGTAAATCCAAACACAATTTTTAATGCCAGATATGCTCCTGGCGCCAAGTACAAGCATGTTGGAGATGATGGAGACTTGGAGATCAAGAAGCTCTTATAGATGCCTAGAATCAAGACCTGCATTGCATAACCCATTAATAGGAATTAGAGTCCAATGACGAGCAAAAATGTTATGAATATATTTTTGAATATTAAGGCTAAGGAAAAGCTTTATAAGGCCTAAGATGCGCAACCAAAAGTCATCACCTATCAATTCATGAGATTAGGCTTGCAATCATCACCTATCAATTCACGAGATTAGGCTTGCAATTAAAGGAGTTGAAGTTAAAGAGATAAGTGAAAAAAAATTTCCAAATAAGCCCTAAAATATAAAAGGGCGTGCAAAAACTTCAAGAGATGGATTTGAGCCAGTTATTATTGAGCCTCAGGCCATAACGAAAGTGGCATCTTTAGGTGTATTTTTGTCTTGGTTTTTGTTTGTTGCATTGGTTATTTGAGTTGTAATGGGCTTAGATATGATCAAATAAAGCCGAAAATGACTTTTTACCTTTTTAGGAGGTTTTTAAGAGTTTTAGATATCATGAACTGATTAAATAAGGTAGACTAGAACATTATTTCCTCCTGTCTTTATTTTAAGTCTCAAATAACTAATTCGCATAGAAGAAACAATTAGTTAAAAACAATAAATATGTTAGATATATACTTTTGTTTCCAAATAAGGAAAAAAATGAAAGAGAATGTGTGGAAAAATTTGATAAGAGAGAATATGTCAAACAAAAGAGAATGAATAATCACAGGCAAAAATGAAAAAATACATTAAATGTTAACAAACCAAATTGAAACTTATCATAAAACGGATCACACCGAAATATTAGTTTGTCTTTTAAAAGTCAGCTTAAAAGCCCAATTATCCTACCATATCCATTGAATTCAAATTAGATGAAATTTGATTCAGATGGATTTTAACCACCGTACCCCCTAATTTCATCACACCTATTGAATTATCTCACGGATTTCATAATATCCTTTTTATCCTGAAAATTATTATCCTTCCATTCGGCCATTATTTTGTTAAAAATTCATTATCCTTCTACTTGCTCCATATAAAGTAACGTGCCTAATTCAATGGGGCTTTAGGGGTTTCAGGGTCTTAGTTTGTGTAGTCTTATTTTCTATTAAAGGTCAAGTGATGTGCACCTATTTTATATATCTATATATATATATATATATATATATTGTAATAAAGAGTTTACTCAACATACTTGCTCCCTTGCATTCTTGTGAGGATACTATAAGAGATTTAAGTGTTTGCTTTACTTGGAACTTTTGAACCAGTGTTTCCCTTGAGTGTTGAGTTTCACATATTATGAAATCCGTGATAAACAAAGCAAAAGGCGATAAACAAACAATATAAGACACAATGTTCTAACCATCTCAGAAGGACCTCTGCCCCTTGAGTGTGAACACCTGGCGTAAACACGCCTCGCACGTAGCTGAAATAGCAACTGACACTCAAAGGCTGACCAACATATTACTCTCTCCGATCCTATATATAAGAAACAAAGCTGGATTAGATCAAAACAATCAGTTGCCTTCTATCACATGGGTGACACTCATGCGTTGGAATTCTCTGATAACATCCATAAAGCAGTGAAGACGTTGGCAAAGCTCTAACATATAGAGGTGACAAAGTTGCACAAATTCAAGCAGGCAAGGTAATAAACACAAGAACCAAGGGAAAAAAATCGAGCACTTAAGATCATTTGCATAAAGACAAATAAAATAAAAGAATGTTAGATCTATTCTCCAATGAGATTACGAGGCAAACTGCGACAACTTTAGCACATACAAAAATAACGGATGGATTAGGTAATTTAGTCCATACCTCCGCCCGTCCAACTTTAATTTTTTGAGCCAATTTTGAGATATCTGTGCAGAGAAGTAAAAGATGCAGAAATTCATTAGAAGTAAACAACGACGGATCAAGCATGCCTATTGTGGAAATATATTAGCTACGCAACATGACTAGCAAATAACAGTGTTATGAAATTCACACTCCTGCTTCTCATAGTATATTTTCACTAAAAGGCTTGAGAGAAAATAGAGGAGCTCAAAATTTTCAAATAAATACCTACAAACTTGAATTCCTTTGGGCATATTAAAGACACTAAACACAGGTTTTGCCATATTAGGGTCCACAATTTTTTTTTTGAGTTCCCAAACACTAGAACAAGCAAAGAAAATCCGTAACATAGTTACATAATTTTAGGGAATAGTGATCAATACAAAAGCTTCCATCAGATGCTGAAACCAATCCACTGCACACAAAACTAAGGCTGTCAACAACAAGGAAAATAGCTAACAGAGCTAACTGCGAAATCAGCATCAATCACCACAGAGCAAGTAAAATAATAGTGACAAATAAAAACTTCAAAGAAAAGCTGAAATGCTGACAGAACAAAAGAGGAACATAATGCACATGGACATAGGGGATCAGAGAAGGGCAAGGAGAGACAGATAAGGGGGGCTTACCATTAGCTATGTGCATCTTTATGAGCCTAAAATCTTCAAGTGTGATACCCTTTTCTTTGTCGAGTGGGTTTACCATATCCACACTTTGAGAAAACTATTGCCTATACTACGAGAATAGGTAACAGCTATTAGGCGAATTAGAGGCAACAGTTTTGAAATATTGCCCAAATCAATCCATATGGAAAATATGTTCTGAAAATTTCCACTGTATGTAAATAACACGTTCTACTTTATCTCTTTGTCCACAACATGCAGTACAGGGTTCAAGTCCGGTGCAATTCCTTCGTGAAGAAATCTGCCCATTATTATCTTCAATTTAGCCTATATCAGATCGGCTTTAGGATGTGACCTCACCTATCCCCAAAAACAAATGTATGTACCATGTTCTTAACCTCTATATATAGTAGTATGCCCAGCAATTTTCCTCACCCTTCTCTGTTTCATTTGAGCTCTGACCTTATCTGCTTCTAATCTTTTACCACAAGAAGTGTAAATATTGGATAATAGAACATATCGACCAGAGTTATCAGAGTCCAACTCCAATATATGTTTTGCAGCAAGTTCGGCCATTTCTACATTCGAATGAATTCTACAGGCGCCAAGCAGTGCTCCCCATACAGCTGCACCTGGCTTTATTGGCATCTTCTGAATAAAGTCATAGGCTTCACAAAGTCGCCCAGCACGACCCAAGAGATCAACCATGCATGCATGATGTTCAGAACCTGGTCTTATACCAAAATCTCTACTCATGGAATTGAAGTGCTCCCAACCCTCCTGTATCAATCCACCATGACTGCATGCTGACAAAACCGACACAAACGTAATGTGATCAGGTTGCTGCAACACCTTCGTCTGATCAAATAAGTCTAACGCTTCTCTAGCATGGCCATGTATCCCATAACCTGAAATCATGGTGCTCCATGAGATTGCATTTTTCTCCTGCATTTGATCGAAAACTCTTCTGGCATATGCCAGATTTCCACATTTCACGTAGAGGTCGACTATAGAAGTTTCAAGAGACACTTGATTTTGGAAGTGGTTCCGAATTACAAAACCGTGAATGAAACGTGCTTGCAGGAAAGATGCCAAATGTGAACAAGTACAAACTACAGCCAGAAGAGTTACCAAATCAGGATGAATTTTCAGTAAGATCATCTCTCTAAAGAGGCCCAAGGCCTCCAAGGGCATATCAGCTTGAGCATAAGATTCAATCATTGACGTCCAACACACCAGATCCTTATCAGTTATCCCATCAAAGAACGCCCGGGCAGCATCAATCCTCCCGCATCTCGCATACATTCTCATGGTAGCATTTTTTATTAATCTATCCAAGCCAAGCCCATTGTCCATCACGATCCTCCGAACTTGGTCAGCTTCCTTTTCTGTGTGCACACATGTCATAGCGTTTAAGATGGAAGCTCTGTTTGGTATAATTCCATTGGCTAACATCTGTGAAAACAAGAATTTGCCTTGGTTGCAGCACCCATTTTGGGCGTATGCACCAATCATTGAGCTCCAAGTGACTATATTCTTGTCATGCAAGTAATCAAACACGTGGCGTGCAATGTCATGACGCCCACACTTGGCATAGAAACTCAGCAGAGAGTTACCCACAGTGACATTAGAGTCATACCCAAGTTGAACCACATCAGCATGAACTGAAATCCCAAACCGATAATCTTGCAGATAAGAACAGGCCTTGAGAACAAACGGGAAGGTGAAATTGTCGGGGTGGAGGGGAAGTTGTCGTCGCATTTCCGTATAAAGTTCCAGAGAACGGTGATAGAGGGAATTTTCGAGGAAGCCACGGATCATAACGTTCCAGAGGAAGACATCGGGAGAGTTGGAGGAGAAGTGAGAAGCAAGAGGGAATAAGGTGGAAGCGAGTGAGATGGAACCTAGAGAGAGGTAGTGAGCAATAAGGTTAGTGGAGAAGAAGATGTTGAAGAAAAGGTCGGACCTGAGCATGCAGCCATGAACACATTTTAAGGATTGGATGGTCCTGCTTTGTTTGATCAAAGAAATGCAATTCTCTGCACTCAACGGCCCTGCTACCATTTTTGCGGGTGAAGCAGAGGAAGAATTTCCCGCAAAGGTGTCCAGAAAACGGCTCGCAGTGAAGAGAGGGATTAATTGAATTACGAGTATTATGATAACAGATAATTAAATTCTAAAATAGCAAAATTTGTATGAAGATTAGAATATCCGTTAGGAAAAAAAAAAGTCCGTATAATGTGAAGCAGACTGGAATATATACGTACACACAAAAACATAATTAATATTAGGAATAATACTATCCTAAATTCTTGAAATTTGACTCTTAAAATTTGATCTCATTTGAGGAGTGTTTAGATAGAAATCAAATTATAGTTTTAAAAGTAATTTTACAGTATAACAAGTATATATATATATAAATGAGTTTGTCTCAGTTTATGATAAAAACACTTTTGGGTGTCCCAAACACTTTTTATGGGGTGTTTGGATGCTCTTAAAATCACTTTTCAGAAATACTTTTCCGTAAATCGAGGCAATCTCCTCCATATGTTTGCTTCGTATACCGTAAAAGCACTTTTGAAACCATAGTTTTGATCTTATCCAAACACTCTTTTAGTTTTAAGGGGTATTGGGATGAAAACAAAACTATGGTTTTAAAAATAATTTTACGGTATACGAAATAAATATATGAAGAAGTTTATCTTAATTCGTAAAAAAATATTTTTAGACAACACTTTTAGCAATAGCTAAACACCCCTTTAGTCCCATTCCAAAGGAACAAAAGCAATGTTTCAATTAAGAGTGTGCATAACGCCCGCATATCAAATAAGTCCATCCAAGTGAGCAAAAAAAGCACCTAGCCCAGCCTAATAAAAAGCTGTCTGAACAAAAATGGGTATTTTCTGGCCAGGCTGATTCACGGGCAAGATCACGGGCAAGATATGTTGCCTTGCCCAAAAAAATATAATTATATATGTATTATAATATATAATGTAATATTATTTTAAACAATTATCCCTTTTATTTTGGCTAAAAAAATTAGGTAAAATTAGAAAAAAAAATGAAAGAAGCATAAAAATTATAATCCTATAAAAAAGTCAAATATCAAAATATAAGATTTAATATGCTAAATTGCTCCAATTCAAATTTCCTTCTTTTCCTCTTATCTCCAATTTTTTTTAAAAAAATAAAAAATAAAACCACCTTTCAACTCTTGTGCTTTCAAATGACTATAAGAATCCACCAACTATATGAATGAACTACAAAATTAACTCAATTATTAAATATTTTTTTACCTCTCATAAGAAATCGAAGGCTGAAGAACAAGACTAGTAAGCCTTATATATATACTCCTCCGGTCCTTATTATAAGACCCTATTTGACTTTTTATTTGGTCCTAATTATAAGACCCCAATCCATTTTATCTCTTATATTTATGCATTTTTTTTCAAGATAATCCTTCTAATAATGATAGTTTTAGCCAATATACTTAATTAGCAAGAATATTTTAGGAATGACAACACTTATTTATTATAAATAACCAACTTAACTTACTTCCTTAATCTCTTCAAATAAGTCAATTGGGTCTTATAATTAGGACCGGAGGAGTATATATATATGAATAATTGAGTCATTCATGATAATTTTTTCCCTCTCATTTGTCTTAAAGCATGATAATTGATTTTTTTTTTCTACACATGATATAGGCAAGGTGTTACTAAGTTAGGCAGAAAAGCCCGTTTTGCCTAGCCCGTCTTTGCTTAGCCCAAAATGGTTAGAGCATTACTAAGCAGTAGGCTACTTTCATGCTAGATATCAGGCATGGCACTTGCTTTTTCTCAGCCCTGTCTATATGCAGCCCTAGTTCCAAGGACGAAAAAATAACAAATCTATGGAGAAAACAAAATAAAGTCAAATTTAAGTGACCAAAATCCCTAGTTTTAAATTTTAGGGATCAAAATCAAAATGATACCAAAAGCATTGGTTTTAAAAATTTGAAATCAAAACTAAAATGAGATCAAACTTTAAGGGCTAAATTTGGTAATACTGCTTAATTTTATCAATTTTAAGAAATATTTAAGGGAGAATTACAATGATGTTTCAAGAAAGGAAAATAATTACAAAACAAATCTCAAAAGTTATCATTCCCTGCTTTAAAATTTGTCATTACAGGCTATTCAGGTTATTATTGAGACTTTTTAATAATTATTTCCCTTCATTGGGACCTTATTATAATTCTCCCAAAATTTAATTATGAATATTTTGAAAATAATGAATTACTATCTCAGGTCCTTAATATAAGAGCTAGTTGATTAATTTGAGTAAATTAAGAAAGTTTGTTAAGTTAGTTATTTGTAATAAATAAGTGTTTTCTTTTCTAAAATACTCTTACTAATCATGTGTATTAGCTAGAATTATTATTTGATAGAATTTTTAAAATGTGCAAACCACTACAAGGACTATTTTAAAAAATAAATAAATATAAAAGACAAAATAAACTGAGATTTTATATTTAGGACTAAATTAAAAGTTAAATCAGTTCTTATATTAAAAATTGAATGTAGTATTTTTTTTTTTAACCAAACGAAAATAATGAATTATAAAACTTTAGTGAAGATAAAAGGTTTAAAGAGCAAATTTCCCTAGAAAACTTTCTCCAGAAGCATTGGGCACCTGGAAACTATTTTAGAGGCAAACTTCTCCAGAAGTTTGAAATGGTAGCAAGTTATTAAAGATCTAATGTTAATCATTAAAATAATGATATTAAACATTGCATGAGATAAAATTGTTATGATTTCAAACTTTGGAAACAAATTTGTGTCAAAAGAAATTTTCAATTACCTAGCAGCACCCCTAAATGAAAAGTTTCCGAACAAATTTGCAAGCTAAGCTAAGATAAAATCATACATTGTGGGCACATATATGTCCGTGTATACATATTATTTTCGCTTCTTAATATAAGAGCTAGTTTGACATTCAATTTTAGTTATTAATATAAATTCTAATTCACTTTATCTCTAATATTTATTCTTTTTTTTTTTCTCAAGATAGTCATTGTAGTAATTATACATATTATCAATATAGTTATACCTAATACACATTATTAGTAAAATATTTTTAAAAAAATCTAATTATTATAAATAACCAATTAATTTCTTTAATTTTTAAATTAGTTAACCATCGCTTATGTTAATATTAATATACTACTTCCGGTTCTAATTATAAGAACTAGTTGACTAATTTGAAGAGACTAAGGAAATAAGTTAAGTTAGTTATTTGTAATAAATATATGTTGCATTTCTTAAAATATTCTTGCTAATCAAATGTGTTGGCTACAACTGCTATTATCAGAAAAATTATCTTAAAAAAAATATAAATATGAGATATAAAATGAATTAGCTTTTATAATTACCATCAAAATAAAATAAAAGGTAAACAAGGGTTTAATACTGCCGGAGGTAGAATTAAAGACATGGGGTGGTGTACCTGTATATGTAGCAGCTTCTTTACTCCCACCGCCTCATTTCCCTCTCTTCCAATTCCTCATCGCAGTCGCGCCGGTGAAGCTGGAGCACAAATAGTCATATGCAATACAACAATAGTACCTACCAGATGGCTTCAAAAGGATGCGAGATAGTCCCTCGGCTTTGCTGCCGTCACCGCCACCATCACCACCACCGCCCACACCACCATCACTGCCACGGCGTCCTTTCTTACTGCGCATTCCACAACCATTACTTTCACTGTCACTGTCACCGTCAAGGATCCAATAGTGTAACTCCTTCTCTTCCTCCTCAAAATCCAGCGTCTTTCGTTCCCTTTCCTATTGGAAACAATTCAAATGTGGTGGCTGCTGAGCATAAAGCAGCCGACGGTGCTGCCGCTCAGTAAGATAGATTTATCTTTGTTTTCCTTTCTCAATCCTCTCAAATTTTTCTCCATTTATATTTTTATTTTTCTGCTTGTTCTTTGTGTAATAAATCAGTTTATGTTGTATAGAGAGAAAGCGGTAATGCGCTTAAGCTGATTCTACTTGGAAACAATATTCGGTGGCGCAAGACAACTCAATTCTTAAATGTGTTTACTGTCTTAGTAGACGTTCGATGCAGTAAAATGGGAGAAAGAGGATTAGGACTTGAAGAAACTAGATGAATAGAGTGAGGCCTTGATATTGAAGAATTTAAGGAATTTTACGTGCGAAATGATGAATTATGGCACGATAGATATCAAAATTTCCTAGCGAAGCTATGATACTGCTGGATTTAAAGCTGAGGTTGAGACGAAATATAAAAAGGTCTAAAAGTTACAAGTTAGCGGAAATTGTGAAGAGATCTCGGGACATGTTGACTAGTCTTTATGTGACTTTCTTGACTGGTGAGCACTACTCTGTTCCGTAATGTAATGGTTCCAGTACATCACGGGGATAGAAAATTAGGAGGATTAAACTCATGGGAATATGAAAATGGTCAGGATCATATGATAAGGACCTTGATAGCACAGGGATTTCACTAGTGACATCTCAGAGAGATATTGGTGGCCATCATAAAATGCAAAAGAAATAAAAGCTTAGTCAGTAATTTTCGGTATCCCTTTTCTGGTATCCTTTTTATTATCTTGTATGCTTTAGATTCCTATAGAGGGCATTATGCAGGATCTCTTGTGGCACATCACTTAAGTTAGTCAGGAAGTTTGCCGGGAAATATAACGAGGACGTGGTCTTGGGTATGACAGAGACTTGTGCTGTTTGATGTCCACCGCCTTGCCCATTTTTTTCCCACCAAATAGAAGGAATTGGATTTTGCATACTTTGGATTATTTACTTTTACTTCCTTCAATTTCTTATTTGAAATCCAAATTTCCAAAGTTTTGCTATGTCTAAATCTTTTTGGAATGTCAATGCTCTCTCTCAGGTGGAGGTTTTTGTTTGGAGTTTGAACCTTGGTACAGATATTATGTTTCAAACATGTGGACCTAATCAGGTTATTCACATGATGTTTGCATGATGTGTCATTGGAGTTCCAATGTAAACTTTCATATTTCTGCATTTTGAAATGGCATGACGGATCTGGAATGGACAGTTTCACGTCTTCAATAAACATTGGGCCGTTCTCTAGATAATAAGTTCAATATTTTAGGGAGCAAGGAGAATTAACGCATCTGGAAGAATGCTGTTTTGGCAGACTCGTGGTTGGAATGGAACTCGAGTTTTATAAGAGAAGTTTTTTCAATCACATCTTTTGGATAAGAATTCTGTTTTTCCCTGGACTTCCCTTCAGGTTTTAACAAGCAGTTACGGGGTTTTTTTTTTTTTGGGGGGGGGTTGTTGTGAGAGGGGTCCCTGTATTGAGTCACGGACTAACAGGGGATTAGAAAGATCATAGTTAATGTTTGTTTAGTTTTTGCATCATGATTTGAGATGATTCCTTTTCTTTGTTGCTGAATTGGTTTTTATTCTTGTGAAAACTTCTTATAAAAATTAGACCAACCCTGGAGGAAAGAAATCTTCAGATTAACATAACTCTGCCAAGGTTGTTTTACTCAACACTGGAAATAGCTGAAGTCTGGCATACTTGCACATGAATTATGAGTCTGTTGGTCATCGTAGGAGTTTCTGTGTGACACAGGCATTCGTTTATGATGATTAGGAAACTAGCTCTGTGGCTACAGGTTCCATGATACGGAGCGCTCCTGAAACCTAAGATGGCTCCATTGAGCTCCCAAATCTCATTCCATGGCAGTCTGAGCTTGCCTTTGAACTCCCTGAACTGGCCCATGCCGTGCATATCCTTTGCCATTGCAATGGAAAGCAACATGGTTTTGCTACCAGTTGGGGTGTAATTGAACCAATGAGAATAGGAAATAAAGAAGGAAGGAGAAGATTGAAATAGGAAGAATAGGAACTCGCTGGATTATCATAAAGTTAGAATCTAACTATAATAAACTAAAGCCTTGGAGAACCTCGGTCTGCTCTGAATCATACTTCCATTCCTCATAACTTCATCATATAATAACTCCCATGTGAACATAAAACCACACGTAAGGACTGCCAACACATCAAGGAGGTTAAAAGTATCTCCCTAATGTCCCTCTCAAGCACTAACAGATGCTACATCTGTGATGCTTTACGCTCTAGGCTGCTTCTTCCTTCTGATGTGGGTGATAATAGGTGGATTTTTATCAGTGTGTGGCTACTTTAGGTCTCAATGTTAACTTTCAATCCTCAAAACTTGCTTACAAAATCAACCCTGTACCCATGTATAGGCACTGCGGCCTATTGAAGTTCATTATTCCTTGCATGCCTTGCCGCTTGTTCTCCATCTTCCTACATAGCGCTACACATACGTAAAAGAGAAAAACTTAATGAAAGCACTACATAAACACACAAAACATTGCAGAAACATCTAAAACAACCGATTCATAATCCATGTAATACCTTCCCTTATTTCTCTGTTGATTGTCATGTTCTCTTTGTTATGGTAAACCTGTACTTCGTGGAACTATATAAACAATAAAAGTGGCTAGTAGGAGCTAGAGATTGAGGAAATCACGGGTGAGCATAGGACAAAATCAAGAGATTGGAGAAGACAGATTTATCAGGATTTCAAGGTTAAATTACATAAAACCCTCTTAATTTTGCGTCAGTTGCACATAATCTTCCTGACATTTCCAAGTTTAAATTTAACCTCTTAACCTTTTATTCTTTTTATCATGGATCCCTTATTGTTAAGTTACCTTTATTTTTTTTGACACATGTTGTCACGTCAGATTAATACAAGACACATGGCATCCTACATGATATCCTACGTAAGTTAATAATGTTATAAAACCTTCCTAAGCTTTAAGACAGTTGCATACCCCCTGGGGGCGGGAACTTTAGAAGATTAACTTTAAATTTTGAAATATCAAGGGGGTTATATGCAATCCGTCTAAAGTTTGGGGGGTTAAGATAACGTTAACTTAGCAGCAAGGGCTCATGATTTTTTTTTTTTTTTTTAAAAAGTAAGGTAAATTTAAACTTTGAAATGTCAGGAAAGTTACGTGCAATTGACCTAAAATTCAGCAGAGTTTTGTATAATGTAGCTGGATTTCAATTTTGAAGTTAAGAATTTTTTTGATTGTACCTGACAATTTCCATGAAGCATTCAAATATACAAGTGCCTACCATGAGTAGTTTTCATTAATAACTGCAACCCACTCGTTATTTGATGTGTGGATAAAAGACAAACCATCCAAACTTTGTGCTGGAACTAAATTTCAAGAGAATGAGAATAACATGATTGAAAAACTATAGATTACTACTAATAACCTTGTAACCTAGTGATATGAAAACTCTCTTGTAAGTAAGAGGTTGTAGGTTCAATCCTGCTTGTAATCTCAAGCTGTTAGTGCTTACTCCTCTAAATTAAAAGAAATAAAAGAACTGTAGGTTACTTGGTTACAGAGGCTTCCAACCTTTTTTTTTTGAGTAGGATGGTATCGCTAACTCCTCCGGTATCCCACACCACATTGGGTGCAGACTAATCCGGAGCGCCCCCTAGAAGAGGACTTCCTAGGATTCGAGCCCATGACATGGTAGGGACGTGGCGCCTTGCCTTCCCGTTTGCGACCAGTCGGACTTCCAACCTTTTAAGTGGAGGCTCACGGTAGCAGTATTAAAATATAGGGGAAAAAACATTTTCTGCTGATATTTTATTGCATTTTGGATGATGTGTACAGTTAGCCTAAAATATCTCACTTCATAATGCTGATGATGCTTCCTTTAAAGCTCCTTTGTAATATTTTCTTGTTATAATTCTAACTCCGTCAAAGAAATAAAATCGATAGCTTCTCAAACTGATGCATGGCAAGCCTCACAACACAGTAATCACGCAAACTATTTCATTCACTCCATCATCTTCATATACTTTCATCTATTTATACTGATAGAGATGTACATTTAATATCAAAAATACCCCTATCTGCACTTTCCTAGTTACCTCCTCTAACTATAATTACATAATTACCTCTGATCATTAACAGCAGCTAACTCTGAACGTTGTTGGTTGGTATGCAGGATTTCACAAGAGCAGGAGCATCTGGATCTAGATGAGGAAGAGGATGAGGAGCCAATTTTTGTTCTAACTGACGAATGGAGGGATTTCTTTGCAAAATCTGAAGCTCGAAGGCGACAAGGTATTTCTTAATATTTCCCGTGCATTTATTTGTCTACGTTTGTGAATAAAATCTACAAGATTGCATTTTTCATATATAAAACAATTGTGTGCGTCTGATTGTGTGCCTGTATGTACTTTATTCTCCATCCTGAACTTAATTGGCTGGTCCAGAATGAAGCATGTCATCAAGGCACTTGAATTTGATGATTAGGATAAGAGAGTCGGGAACTAATTAATGGGCTATTATGTATCTGCCACCTAATATATTTATATAAATATCATGCAGAGAAGAAGAACCGGAAGAAGGGAAAGAAGTAAAGATAGTAGATGGAAATGTTTTGACCAATTTGAGAGAGAACAAATGATTCCTCCACGGCTGATCAGGAAGCTTCAGAAGAGCCATTGATAATTGGTCAAGATCCTGCTGATGACGATGCGATTTTTTTTCTGGGGTCAGTCAAAAGAGGATAAACTATTACTACATAGAGTCGTTTGAAAAGGTATACTGTTAAATTTGTCTGTGATTTTAGGATGAATGCTCGACTAATTGTATTAGTTTATCATTTGTAAATCAGCACAGACCAATCTATTAAAGTAATATAATATTGAATTTCATTGTTTTAAGCTTTACATATGTGTTCCGGGCAACGTAGTGATGCCAATGGAAAATGCAACGCAAAATGAACGTAACCTTATCATAGAGATTATTGATAAGGATTAAAGGAAATATATTCAACCTTCTAGCAAAGTCTTAAAAACTAGGTTAGTTGTTAACCTACTGCACAGTTCATGGTTTATTGATTTAATAATAGCCTTTTCTGTTTTTGCCAATGATCGACTTGTAGTTTACTCATATAGATAAACTTGTTATGAATACTATGGCTTAGTGTATGTATGTCTATCTCCCTCTTCCCAAGTAACCCCACTACTTCCACTGTTCCACCGATCTTGTAACCCCGGCTCCCGCTCACATTCATGGTTCAGTATTTGTCATTTACGTAGGAGTGTAACCCATGTGCAACCATTTGTGTTGTATGTAAGAAGTATACAAGATATCTCTCTCATTCTCTTGCCTCCATCTCTTTTATAGACTAGACATTGTAGTAAGGATCTTAATCTTATGCTGATTTACTTCTTAGCTATTCTATTTTCTTAATATTAATTTTCATTTAACTTTTGTAATGGTGAAATAGGGGATGAAGAATAATTAGAATTTATTTATCTTTATTATCCTTATTATCTTTTAAAATTATGATTTGGATCAGATTTAGGATTTGTTAATATTTTAATATTTCTAGAGCTTTATTAATACAGCTAAGGTTTCTCATCTGTACTCATTTTTTGGTTTTGATTATAGAATTCCTTTTCCCTACCTCTTCCTTTATTCTATTGTTCTCTTCTCCCATATTCTCCTCCCTTTTTATGATAGTATCGTCATGTTGAATCTTACAAAATTTGAATTTTTGCCTCTTGACACTAATGAAAAGAATTACTTTCCTTGTGGAAATTCATCTGCATGTCAACGGTTTAGAAGACATAATCAAAGAAGGAAATCAAGCAACGATTTTGACTTTATCTTGATTGGATGCTTAATTGCCTTCTATGATTGTGTTTCTTGGCATTTGGATAAAGTTCCACATATAGTATCCAAATTAAATAGGAAAAATGACAGAAAAATGATTCTTAAATTTCAAAATCCCCTAATAGGTTAAATAAGTAAAATTTCAGTTTAGGTATAAGTGACTAAATTGGGATTAGCAAATTTGTTGAAATGTCTATATTGCCCTTTATTTCTTTATTAAAAAAAAACCCAAACAACCACACTTGTTAGCCGATCACTGGATCTTCAGTGCCGGTGGTGACAGCCAGAGTTTAGGTGGGCTGCCATCACCCAAGCTTTGACAATCGACTGATGACTGGTTGTCAAACCTCGAGCAATTTTTTTTCAGAATCTTTACAACTTCAGTGTCACAGTTAACAAATTTTTTAATGTTATTAACAAGTTTAGTATAGTAGTTAACAATAAGATTTCTAGAAAATTCAAAAAGTGAGGTTTTCACAACTTCAATAACGAGATTAACAAATTTTTTAACGCTATTAACAAGTTTGATATAGTAGTTAACGACATGTTTTCTAAAAAATTCAAAAAAATGGTATTTTTATAACTTTATTAACGCGGTTAACAAGTCACATAACGATATTATTAACTATCATAGCACCATTAGCAAATTTTTCCTATGAAGGTTATGTTTTTAATATTAGCTTTTGTACATCCAAAATTTTTCATTTATTAGATAGTCACTATAGTTATGAGAGTTGTTAATATCATTACATAACTTGTTGTTAGAATTGTTAATATCGTTACATGACTTGTTAACTAGACTACTGAAGTTATAGAAATGCTGCTTTTTGAATTTCTCATAAACCTGCTATTAACTATTATTGAAATTGTTAACAGCATTATAGAACTTGCTAACTGCACTACTGAAGTTATAATGTTACTTTTTGAATTTTCCGAAAAACTTATTGTCAACTATTATATCAAACTTGTTAATAGCATCAAAGAATTTGTTAATCGTATTACTGGAATTGTAAAATTTTTTTAAAAAAAGTTTGTCCTGGCTGCCGTCTAGCTACCGAAGCTCTGGTAACGATGGCTCACCTAATATTTGATAATCGACATCGTCACTGGAGCTCCAATGACCCACTGATCGGAGAGTGTTTGATTTTTTTTTAAAGAAAAAAAATTAAAGGCAATATGATCATTTCAACAAATTTGCAAAATCCAATTTGGTCACATATATCTAAATTGAAATTTTACTTATTCAAGTTATCACTTTTAATGTAAGATATCTAAAATTTTAATATTGAATCAAGTGTTTTAGAAAAATTTATGTAAATGGTATTGTTATTAAATATTTTTAACGTAGGTTTAACTTAATAATAATGTACTTAATAACCTGAAATTTTGATAAATATATTATTTTGAAGTGTCAAATCAGTAAAAATAAAGTCACTAAAATTCAAAATGAATTGAAGTTTGAATGAAAATTGGAGAAATTAAATGATTAATATGATTTTCTAAATCATATTTGAAAGTTGCACTTTGCCATGACATGTGCGCGCGCGCATAATTAGCATAAACCATTTCAAACTGGATCCCCACTAGACAGGTTATGACTTAGAGAAGTCTCCTTCTACGAAGTTGAATTATTTAATTTAGTTTCTATGATTATATGATCTCAAAAGCATGACATTATTTAAAAACTGAATCTTTATTCAATCCAGTCATCATTAGAATTATTTAATTAAATTCAAAATTAATCAAAATTGAACTCTTAAAACTAAGCACACTTTCCAAATATATTTCTTATCAAACCATCGATATATAATCTAAAATTTATTTTAAAAAATTCCACTATAAGTCATAACATAGTGTGCTCAATTTAATATTTTTTTTAAAAAGAGTGTGTTCATTCCTTAAACTTCATGCAATACATAAGATCCCACATCTAATTCTGTAATAAAATTACAACACTCATCGGCATGAATGAAATGAATCACAGATCACTGATATTCTTTCAGAGGCTATCAACAAGTTAAAAACAACTCAGTAATCCGCGCCCTCACATTTAATCATTTTAAGCTGACTAGTGGCCATATTCAAAGAATGTTCTAAAGTAAAGAACATGACCTTGAAGAAAGTTCACTAGCTCAGGGATCAAACTTCCCTCCCCCATGATTCATTTTTATTTATTAACTGCAGAAGAGAGCTTTTAAGACCTGAAGCCTAGCTTGCTAAGAGCAGCATTGATCCGCTCCTCTGTGAACATTCGATTGCTTTCATAGAAATCAAGAATCTCCATCGATATATTTTTCACCTGTCAGAGAACAATACAAGACCATTGATACACACACACCCTCATCAAAGATCAATTTATCTAAACAGCATGAAACCATTCTAAGGAATACAACAAAATCTAAATTTCAACTCCGATAACTTAATTCAGCAACACAATAAAGGAGCTATTAGATGATGGGACAGTCAATAGGCAGTCCGATGACTAAACTCTTTCATAATCCTAGACCACAAATTAACTGTAAGAAATAGCATTCTTAATATTATTTTTGCCCAAACAAACCCCCCCACCAAATAAGAAAAGAAAGAAAGAAAACCCAGCAACTTCCGAATTTATCAGGACCATATTTCCACATCTTGCTTTTTCTGACAATAATATGAATATATAACGAATTCAGGACAGAAAAACTAAATTGAAAACAGCAAACTCGTTCCAAAGTTCCACAGATACTTGGGTTATATTTTGTGTAAAGTAGTAAGGATCCGATAACAATAATGAAGGCATGTACTCGAGATTCACGTCATATCTCATTCCAACAACCGTACAAGGATCATAACAGCTCCCTCTACTAGAAAGGGGGGGGGGTGAATGTTTCGGTTCAGCAAAAGTTGAAGTATCATGCTATCATCTTTCAAGTTTTCAAGAAAAAGTTTGCACAAGAGGCGATCAAGAGCTGATAAAGAGAATCCAAAGAAGAGAAGGAAAAATTATAAGCAACAAAGTGCATGCATATAAATCTAATGAGATACTCACTACATTCATATCGACACGAAGCTCTTCAAACCAAGCAGTGGTGTCTTTCTCCCTGAGGACACTAGCAATGAATATGCATGCTAAAGCGATCAGATGTGGAGGATGCACAAGAATTAGGTCCATCTTGTAGGTTCATTTACTAGTCCCCTGTGGGCAAGAACAATATGTTTATGATATGGTATATTAATATAGATGAAGCAGTAGCGATCACACGATTATCTTTTCTTGGGAGAATAAAAAATATTTGTCAACAGGAAAAAGAACAAAAGAAGACATTAGCTCAAGCAAGCAGCATGGCTGACAATTGTGATAACAGATCAACCCCACTAGCACCAGCAAGATGTATACTGAGATAATAGGATAAGCGTTCTTATTGAATAA